TTTGATCTTGTTTATGGTGGACATTATTACTACGCGTATGTATTATTACCAATTTTATATGGCCGTGTGATCCACCGTATTTTTTCAACAGTCGTTCTATAAATTTCTGATTGTATTTATTCTTATTTTAACATAATAAAAAACAAAAATGATACACTTGTACATGAAACAGTAGGTAATGAACTGTAAATGCGGGCGGTTGCGCTGTCAGGCGAGCGAGCGAGCAAGCGAGCGATTGCGTGAGCGGATACTTCCGGATTTGTGCGGTCGAAAAAAAAAGCGGAAATTGTGCGGTCGAATTGAACAAAGCGAGCAAAAAAAAAGCGATCGAAATCCGGAAGCGGGCGGGAGGTTGGGCAAAATGAGTACTGTATGAGGTTATTATGAGAATAACAATGGTGTATATGTATTATACTATGAAGTTATTATGAGAATAACAATGTGTATATGTATTATACTATGAGGTTATTATGAGAATAACAATGGTGTATATGTATTATACTATGAAGTTATTATAAGAATAACAATGGTGTATATGTATTATACTATGAGGTTATTATGAGAATAACAATGGTGTATATGTATTACACTATGCGGTTATTATGAGAATAACAATGTGTATTTGTATTATACTATGAGGTTATTATGAGAATAACAATGGTGTATATGTATTATACTATGAGGTTATTATGAGAATAACAATGGTGTATATGTATTATACTATGAAGTTATGAGAATAACAACAGTGTATATGTATTATACTATGAGGTTATTATGAGAATAACAATGGTGTATATGTATTATACTATGCGGTTATTATGAGAATAACAATGGTGTATATGTATTATACTATGAGGTTATTATGAGAATAACAATGGTGCATATGTATTATACTATGAGGTTATTATGAGAATAACAATGGTGTATATGTATTATACTATGAGGTTATTATGAGAATAACAATGGTGTATATGTATTATATTATGAAGTTATTATGAAAATAACAATGGTGTATATGTATTATACTATGAGGTTATTATGAGAATAACAATGGTATATATGTATTATACTATGAGGTTATTATGAGAATACAGCAAAATATATACAAAGGCAGTATGACAACCATATCAACCAATGAGTAGCGGAGAATGATGTGTTCCTCCACTGCCTGAGAGTATACTTTGCAGTATTTTAATGACAACCTTATTACTATACATTTTTTTTTCTTGCTTTTATTAATAAACAACCATTGATAATGCATAGTCCCCGTTAAGTATTAGCTGCAGTCAATGTAAATGTCCAGTACAAGTGACATGTAGAAATGAAAGATCAATGTTTTTTAACACTAACACAGATACAGATTGTGTTACTGTCAGTATAGTATCTACGTGAAAACTTGACATGACAAGTAACCGCCCTATCGCCCTATTCAGTCCTGAGAAACAGTTCCGAACACGTTACAGAATGTGATTTTAAGATATTAAACAAATTGGCCGCCATTTCAACAAATTTGATCAAATCTCAAAACAAAACATGGTGTTGTGTTATCTTAAAGTATAGTACCTATGTAGAAACATTGAACTGAATCAGGCCATATCTTATGTCAGCCATCTTGAACTGAATTTCCAAAAAAAGTGATGTGCACCCATAACCCAATATGCATAAACACCATACAAAATTTGATTGAAATCACCCTGTTTAGCTCGAGAAACAGTTCTGGACACGTTTAAATATCGGAATTTAGCAAATTTGATGGACAAAATGACTGCCTGTCAGCCATATTTAATCAAATCATAACGAAAATTAGCGTGCATATGTAGGTCATCATACATTGTCTGTATGCCAAGTTTGAACAAGATTGGTCAAAGGGACAGACGGACAGACGGAACCCAAATTAATAGTCCCCGTTTTCAGACTTCGCTCAAATGGGGACTAATAAAAGAAGATAATAGCCCAAAATGGATTTGTCCTATGATTTCTATCACACTTTGATAACGCTTTTGTGAATGCAACGTTAATGTGAGGCACAATTACTAAATAATGAATACATTTAAAAGTGCTCCTGACAATGTTAATGTTGTTTTCAGTTTCAGATGTATAATATAACGTTATTCCAATCATACAGTACTTACTTTCTGGTTTTCTCAGGCTGGGTACATGGGATACAATATTACTGGCATCGTCGACTACAGACTTTGTTCGAGAGGAGTAAGAAGATGCTGATGTAAATGATGACACCAATGGCTTAGACACTACTGGTAATGCTTTAGATGATGTAGTTTCACAAGTCATGTGACTTTCTCTACTTTTCAACTTTGGTTTTGGCATCTACAAAAAGTAATAGAATGGCATTAAGTATAGCATCATGAGAAAAAAGTTGACAAAGACAAAAATTGTGTGAAACAAAAAACTGGTGATAATAATATTTAAGGTGTAATGTCAGCAAAGCTTATTAGTTGAAAGCAGAGTCACTTAAGACACAATAAATGTAGAGAATATTTAATAAAAAAACTAAGAGTAATGATAGAAAGTCTGATTTTTGTGTTCTGTTTTTTTAACTAGCCCTATGTAGCATTGTTTATTGCAGAAGAACGAACATGTTGCCTCAGAAACCTCAACAATCCGTAAGAATACTTACAATTCTCTCAGTGGTTCTAAAAAAGTTGATTAAATCTCTCATTAGGATGCCAAAGTTTTCATATGTCTGGGTGTAAGGACGAACCCAAGATGGTAGTTGTGCTTTTGTATCACTCTTAGCAAACCTACAAATTTGTTGTAAACATTGAATGTTTAAAAAATGAATATAAAAGAACACAATAAAATTTAGATTATGTTGTTTAGCAATATTGCCAATGATGTGATATGGTGCACCTGGTTGATATAGATGGTATTCAGTGACTATGGTTAGTGATGTGATATGGTGCACCTGGCTGATATACTGTGGAATACTTTATTTTCGCTGGAATTAATTTTCGCTGAAAAGGCTTTTTGGGCGTTTTGTATGGAATTTATTTTCACTGATTTTTGATGAGTTTAATGTGAAATATAGGAAAAAAGTATATTCGCTGGATTTTATTTTCACGGAAACATCCCTTCAGCAAAAATAACGAAAATTAATTTCCAGGCGAAAATAAAGTATTCTACAGTAGATGGTATTCAGTGGCTATGGTTAGTGATGTGATATGGTGCACCTGGCT